TGGTAGGAAATTATAGGTTGATCTTACTTTCATGGAGATTTAAAAAAAGTAACATTTATGGAGAAAGTAATGAGTATTAAATCTCTTATACACCTACAATGATTAAAGAAACCTTTTCACTTATGCAAGCAACTCTGTTCAGTTTGGACAAAGAGTCTTTGAACTCAAGTCGGGTTACACAGAATGGGAAGTTATCAAGAGGAAGGAAATCAAGTGAACATTATTCAAATAATTCAAGATGTTTTGATACTTAAAACGCCTGGCGTTTGTACTCTAAGACTTTGATACTCCAGTGTGGTCATGGACCAAAAGCATCAGCATCTTGTTGGAGCAATATCTCAGGCCCCAAGCCACCCTACAGAATTAAAATCCTCCTTTTTAAGATCTTCAGGTGTTTCATATGCACATGAAAGTTTTAGACTCACTACCACTGTGGGGAATTATTATTTTGAAAACATAATGAGGTACTTCATGACTGGGAAGAAAACTTAATCATGTTTTTTTAAATATATAACATAGCAATCTTCTCTGGAATGGGTATTTCTTAAGAGTGACAATAATTGACATTTTTGTACCCTGAGCATCTCATACAAATGCTTGCCTCATATCTGGCCCAATGAGAAGAGGAATAAGTGATGTTAAGTAAAAATAGAGCATCAAGCCATTGATGCTATAAAATTTGTTAAAAAGGATAAGATGGTTGGCTCAATAGGCAAGTACAAGGACTTGCAATCTGAACATATGAAGAGAACAAGTGAAGATATGAAAAATTTTGCTCAAACATAATAGGAAAAAATTGCCATGTGCTTAATTAGGAAGGAAGCACACGACAGAGGTTCTGAGCATTGATATGCACAGCCTGGTAATGTGGTAACTGTATAGTGTACAAATGTGATATTGAAATGCATGAATATTTTCATTATGCTAAGCCATTATTCTGGTCAAATCTTACTAGAATTCTTTTTGATCAATGCAGAACATGGAATGTAAAGTGGATTTAAGATAAATCACTTGAGAAAACTGAGACATAAATAACTCTCCAGAGAATGCTAATAATTATTTAAAAACATTTGTTGAACGCAAAACCTGTAGTGCAATTCTAACTACCTGGAGTTAGATCAAGTTTTCCAGGTCCTGGGCAGTCTTCACAAGACTGCCCTCACTGAACACACCAGCTGCAATCTGACGTCCCTGGGCTACTTGCACCTGTTACCAATTGCTCTCAACTTTGAGGGGTTCCCACTACCCCCTCAGGTTTGAGTTTGTTAGAACGACTCACAGAACTCAGGGAAGCACTATAATTTCCATTAGTTTTACTAAAAAGAATAAAAAACAGGACCTTATGAGACCCACGGGGCAAGGTTTGGGGGAGTTACAAACACTGGGTTTCTGTCTTTAGGATGCATCGCCCTCCCAGCGTACCGATGTGTACCTCTAACCAGGTGAGCTCTCCCAAGGGTTGGTGTCCAGGATTTTGATTAAGGTCTCACTACATAGCCATGATTAGTCAGTCATGACATCATTGTCCACATGATTCAATTCAACCTCCAATGCCCAAAGGTTGGGCTCCTATCATGTGGCTCAAAGAACCAACCCTAAGGTCACAAGGTCAGTGTGTCCAGCATGACCAGTCTCCACCCTGCCACTGTCTAGGGTCCCTCCATGAATTAACAAAGACACTCCCTTCCAGGAAATAGAGACAAGTTAGCCAAATTCTTTATTATACAAAATGGCCTTACTGAGGTCCCTGGCTAGGCTGGATTACTTCTAGGTTAAATTTTAATAGTGTTTTGCCCTGGCCCATGCAGTGCAGTTGGTTGGAGCATCATCCCATAACCAAAGGGGTTAGGGTTCGATTTCCAGTCAGGGCACATACCTAGGCTGAAGGTTCTATCCCCAGCAGCCTGGGCACATACAGGAGGCAATCAATTGGTGCTTCCCTCCCTGCTTCCTTCTCTGTCTAAATGCAATGCAGAAATGTCCTCGGGTGAGGTTAAAAAACCCTTTTTATTCAATCTTAATACAGTGACTCACAAGAGTTAGCCAGATTTTTCTGCTGTTCTTTTGTTGCACTGAATGTTATGCCACAGAAGGGCGCATAATATGGCAAAATTCAGAATACCAATCACCCAATTATCTTTTTTGATCCAATGATATTCTTTGATGTTTAGTTGTGCAATACAGATATTGGGTGCCTACTGTATTATACAGACTTAAAGTAGAGGATAATACGAACTTAAAGTGAGGATACTAATACACTCATAGAGATGTCAGGATTAAGTAAGTTATCACATATAACGCACTTACAATAGTGTCTGACACTTAGCAAGCACTTAAACATTAGCAACTGCAATTATTATTTTTAATTCCCTTGTTATTTATTTTGTTGTTGGGATTGACACATTAATGAATGATCATATAATAAAATCTGGCACACATATACATTCAAATGTTGATTGCCTTTACTGCAGAAAATATTCTGTATTTCAGACTACTTCTTAAGACAACTCTCTCCATGGATACAAATGAGTTAACGTTTAAAGTTTATCTCCATCTGATGGCTGGTAGAAAAAGAAAATGTAGTATAAAGGGGCTTAGGCTGGAAAACTGATTTTTTAAATGGTGCTAAGCTGTTTAAAATCGGTAGGGTATGCAGTAAGTTTGTAATAGGCAGACAGTGGTAAAAAATTAGAGTTGTGGGGGTAAAAGGATGCCCTGGTAAGTTAAAATTATAATATCAAGGACTTTGGAAAATTAACTTTTTAAAAAGCACGATCCTTACTGTCTTAAGAATTTAAGGAAGCATAATAAAGTAAATTAAGATTCCTTTCATTTTAAAATATAGAAACTTAAAAATGATTACCATTTGGAGAAAAAAAACTCACAGTATTTTAACATATAGCAAATGAGAGCCAGTCAGAATTCCTTGTGCTCGACCCTAAAATGATCATGGGCTCTGGTGTAGCCGCATGTGCACAGGACAGGATGAAGTCCCCATCAGCATACGATGCAACTTTAGGAGTTCAGATTAAATGTTCTGAGTATATTACACTGAGGAAATACAAGCGATATCACCAACAGCACAGATAATGAATTATTTTAATCAATATTACTTACACTGCAAATGAAGATTAATTGAAAATTTTTAATATAGTGGAAGGAATTCCAAAGCACACTGCTGAAGCCCAAGGACCAAAATCTCGATGAGTTTAGATTCAAAACTGTGCAAGTAACATCTTTTACAAAATGCTATATCTAACTTGCATTTCTTAAATTTACCTCATTTTATTTTCAACTTGCCACATTAAATTTCAAATTAAATTATATATGGAAGATGACAGTGTAGGCAGACATGGCTTGCCTCTTCACACAACGCCAAAATTACAACTAAAATATAGAACCACCATTACTCAGAACCATCAGAAATCGAGCTGAATGGAAGTCTGACAACTACAGAAGAAAAGAATCCACATCCATTGAGACTGGTAGGAGGGGTGTGGATGGGGAACAGGCTGGTCTCTCACCCACATGTGTGGATGAAAATTTGGGAGGGGTATCTCAGGAGCCAGCAGGACCAGCTCCACACCTGGTCCCTCAGCCCAGGGTTCTAGTGCCAGGAAGCTAAATCCCCACAACTTCTGGCTGTAAAAACCAGTGGGAACTGAGAAGAAACTTCTGGAGCTCCAAGCATCTCCTCTTAAAGAACCCACACATGGACTCACCTACTCAGTCTCACTCCCAGTGAGCAGAGAGAGCATTATCCCTTTTCTGAGCCATCCCTCTGCAGAGCCACAAATGAAAGAACAGACCAAAACTCCAGAAAAAGAGCTAAACGAAATGGAGATAAGCAATCTATCAGATACAGAGCTCAAAACACTGGCTATAAGGATGCTCAGAGAATTTAGTGAAGACCGCAGCAGCATAAAAAAGAACCTGTCAGAAATGAAGAATTCACTAACTGAAATAATAATTAATTTACAGAGAAACAACAGTAGAGTAGATGAAGCCAAGAATCAAATGTTTTGGAATATTAGAAAGCAAAAAATAACCAATTAAAACAAGGAAAAAGAATAAAAAATGAGAATAGTTTAAGCAGCCCCTGGGACAACTTCAAGAAATCCAACAATGCATCATAGGGGTGCCAGAAGGAGAAGAAATAGAGCAGGAAATTAGAAATCTATTTGCAAAAATAATGAAAGAAAGCTTCTCTAGTCCAGGAAGCACAGAGAGTCCCAATCAAGTTGGGCCCAAAGAGGACCACACCAAGATACATCATAATTAAAATGTTAAGGGTTAAAGATGGAGAACCTTACAAGCAGCCAGAGAAAGGCAGAGTTACCTATAAGAGTTTCCATAAGATGGTCAGCTGATTTCTCAAAATAAACTTTGTAGGAAAGAAGGGGCTGGCAAGAAGTATTCAAATTGATGAAAAGTACCTACAACCTAGATTACTCCAGACGGCAAAGCTACAATTTTGAATGGAAGGGCAGATAAAGTGCTTCTCAGACAAGGTAAAGCTCAAGAAGTTCATCATCACCAACTCATTATTACATGAAATGTTAAGGGACTTATCTAAGAAAAAGAAGATGATCAAATACATGAACAGTAAAATGACAACAAATTCACAACTATCAACAACTGAATCAAAAAAATAAAAACAAAAATAAACTAAGCAAACGACCAGAATAGCAACAGAATCATAGGTATGGGGATCACTTGGAGGGTTATCAGCTGGGAGGGGGGGGGGGAGGGGAAACAAGAGAAAGGAGTGGTCCAGGGATCAAGAAGCATAATTGGTAGGAATAAACTAGACAGGGTGATGTTAAGAACAGTATAGGAAAGGGAGACGCTACAGAACTTACATGCACAACCACGGACATGAACTCAGGGGGGGACTGCTGGAGGGAAGTGGGTTACTGGGTGGTGGGGGGCAAACAGAAAAAACTGGGACAACTGCAACAGCATAATCAATAAAATATACTTAAAAAAGAAACAAAAAATATAAGGAAAACAATGACAATTTTATTTTATAATTTAAGAATCAATTATTTCCTTTCAATTAAAAAATCTAAATTTTTTAGATTTTTTTAGATTGAGTCTTTTAGCACCTCTTTGATAAATAGTAGCAAATTTTCCTTTTGATATATACCTGCAGGATGAAGCATGAGGACTCCTTTGACTATATTGTCTACACTTCACAGGAAACTTAAAGCATGTTTTCTGTAAAGAATACTCTGAAATTATCAGAAAAAGGCCTAAGTTTTAAAGTGTATGTAAAGCTTTACTCAATCTTCACTTCCCTCTTTTTAGAACAAAATGCTATCAATGCATTCTTTAAAAAAAAAATCACAGAATAATTTTATTTATAATGAAGTTATTCTCTCTAGACTTTAAATCAACAGTTCACTCTTATAACAGAGAATCATTTTAAATAACACCACCAAAATGAAACAAAGACCAACAAATCTGCTATTACGTATCAATCTCTGTGACATGACATGACAATATCTAATTAGTTTTACAGCATAGTCCACTTCGGGTTAAATTCTCAATAAACTGCTAGTAATTACAGTCCTTTATATTGATACTGCTCTAAGGTGTGACAGATGCTGCTCTCCTGACTGCTTCAGATGTCAAACAGTCAAACCACGCTCTGAAGAAAGGGATGACTTCAGTGTAATCCAGTCATGAATGGAGAGCATGCTGTCAGATCCTTTGGTGTTTATAATAATCCCTTTAGAAAGTTAATTGGTGATTGGTCCCTTAGAATTCTATGTTAAACAGCAGGAGTCACTGCCTATACAGTTTGTGCCAATGTCCTTGACTTTTTTACTTCCACTGTTTTGTTTATCAGGTCATATAATGATGGCAGTCTTATTTTATCCATATTTTTGCTGTAAACATTGAGAAATATACCAAGGACAACTAACAAACCAGACCATATGTACCTAAGAGAAAGAGATATGAAAAAAATTAGTATTAAGGTAACAATTCACTAGTCACAAAACTTGGTGATGAGTTCACAAAAGCTATGCTATGCAATAAAATAAAATTCTGCAATGGGAAGCCTACAGTAACAGTGCTAAAACAAAAATCATAGTTTTAGATCAGATTAGAATTTCATATCTTTTATGTTAAGTATATGTAGAAATAAGATAGTTTACAAAATACTAAATGTAGTTTATTTGAATTTTGAGATTAACAGAAAATTCAAAGTCCAACTCCTACCAAAAGCCTTAAGTAAAAGTGCTGGATTGGTAAACCTGCCAATGGCCATCTTGTGAATATAATACAGCCATCCGACGAGTTATCCTAGTTGGGGAGAATAAATAGCAATAAAAAGGGGACACATCCAGAGAATGGGGAATTGGCAGAGATTACTATGATGTATACCTATCACATTCAGAATGGGAAACCAACTTATAGAAGACAAATACATGAATGGCCAATTATTTGTGGTTACCTTTAATTTTATATATTGATAATTTCTAGGTTTGAATCTTCTCAATTCCTAATAACCAAGGTAAGTTTAAATAATGCTAATTTCAAATAAATCTTGACGGTAAAGAAAACAGTAAGGGCCACAAACCAAGTCATTAGGGCACAACTGATATAATACTTCTCCACCTCACTGCTTTGTGAGAAAAGGCAGCAAATAAACCATCAATTTTAATATATATATATGAATCCCAGGCATCTCTCTCTCTCTCACAAACACATACATACACTACCCCATATATATGGTCTGTCCAGAAACTATCCAGCCATGCAATATAAAAAATAGAGACTTTTTTGAAGAGAATATAAGATACGAGAAACATTGTACACAGGAAAATGACACCTCAGTCCCCTTCAAAGCAGGCACCTTGGACTTCACACAGTTCTCCAATCAGCTGCCCTTCGGTATTTTTCTGAATCTCATCGAAGCTCTAAAATCTCTTTCCTTTCAAAGGTGGTTTTAGTTTTCAGAAAAGCCAGAAATTGCAGGGCATCAAATCTGGACTATAGGAGGACTATAGGATTTGACGTTTCACCAAAAACTCTGCACAAGACGTGATGTGTGAGGGCATGTTATCATGATGAAGCTGCCAATCACCAGTTGCCCATAGCTGTGGCCTTCTGAATCATCTGAATAGTTTCTGTGGAGGAATGTTCAAACTTGATGCAAAATTTAATGCAGATCTGTTGCTCTACTCACTCAGTCATTTTGAATGTGATGGCCACACAGTACGCATGCTCACTCAATAGTGTCTACTGCCCCCACTGGCTAGTAGAGGAAGTCGTCATTGTTCACACATACGCATTCTAGTCGACTCCCTGTGGCTGCCAGGTTGCACTGATGTCATGCAAACTGTTCTCATTATATTAACAATGGCTGGACTTTTTCTGGAGACACCTCATATGTATATTTAATAATATATAACTATGTAAATATTTATATAAAGTTTATGTACTATATATAAATATATTTCCACTAGGGCAAGGGGGAATGAATCCCTTGATCTTCACACATAACTCACATTCATTTATATTGCAAACAGGATCACATTTGCCCTGGGATTCTGGTTACATGGCTTAAGTGTATAAAATGATTTCTTCAAAATAATTACACACATTTCTGAAGCAGCAGAAGACATATCAATAAACTAGTGGTAGAGATGAAAAATATGCTTTATAAAGAATTAAAGATATTTAATAGGAAAATGAAACAAAGTATCTAAAAGCTGAGAAACTTGCTGAATTCAAATATACTTACTGAAATGTGAATGGTTTAGCAAAGAATATAAATGAAAGTACAATGGTCATTGCCTTTCTTCCTGTTGTCACTGTAGGGAAATAAAGGTTAGTTTAGAATGTGTCTACTGTCCCAGAAATATTTTGGAAATCATTCATTCACACATATTTACAAAGCCTGCTATGTGCCTGGATCTATTTGAGGTGCAAGTCAAAAAACAAAAAAGTCACTGTTGGTGCTACTATGAGATTTACAGTCTAGTAGGGGGACAGACATTAAATACTACGGTAAGTGTCAAAGCACAACTGTAATGAATACTCAACTACATGGGGAGGCACAGTATCCCTCAGAGAGACTTACTTAGTTTCGAAGGAAAGAAATGCTTTCTAAAGGAAGATATGATTAGAAGGAGTAGACAACCTAGTATCTTAATAGTGATCACCTCTGGATAAGACTATGAGAATCCTTATAATCCTCTTTGTATTAACTTTTGCTTGTCCTTTAAGTTTTTACCTCAAAGTCTATTATAAGGCCTGAAACCTTCCTCCCTGTCTTACCAAGTAGAGATGAAAACTGCATGTATCTTCATTATAGCTTTTCCCTCACTTTGCATTATCAGTTGCTATCTTCACACTAGACTGTGTGTTTTCCTTAGTTCCTTGTCTTATTCATCCTTATTATCCCCAGACTCTGTAGTTCCTAGCACTTACTATGCAATGCATGAATGAATGAATACCAAATGAAGAAACTGTTTTGGAAACGTGTTAGAGCTTGATTTCCCAAATCTGTCTTTCCTTTCACTTTAATAAAAGGACCCCTGTTTTTAATTGGCTATGCCTTCTAGCCTCTCCTACATCTAGGCATGATCATGAATTAGGTTTTGCCAAAAAAGTGTGAGGGGAAGTACTATATCTAGGAGTGTGATTTCTAGGAAGCTTCCATAAATAGAAAGGTGTGTGTTTCATTTTCTCTCCGACTCACTGCCTGGAACAGGCAGAGCACGCAGGAACCTGGATTCCTAATGAGCATGGAGAGGCAGGTTCTAGAGGCAGTACAGCATAAGGAGTAACAGCACAGGTCTAGTGTCACACGGACTCAGGTGGAATCCTGACTGCAGCTTACGAGCTGCTTGACTATTGGATAAGTCACTTAACCTCCCTAGGCCTCAGTTTACCCATTTGTAAAACAACAATAATAGTGAGTACTTTGTAAGATAATTTCAAGTTTAAGATAAACAATATGTGTAGGATACTTACAATAGTGCCTGGTACACAATAAAGGCTATGTACATATTAGCTATAATTATTATTACCACCTCTGGATTTCTTTTTACGAGAGAGAAATAAACTGGCTTGCACCTTTAAGACAAGGACTGCATCTCACATTTCTTCATACAGGGCCCGATCAATTCATATGAATTGATATAAGAACTTTTTAAACAGTTAATATCTTACAGGCAAAACTGAAGCCCAAGATAAGTATATGAATTTGCAATCTTAAGAGCATAAGATGAATTGAAAGATCAGTGATACGCGGCCTAGTCTATAATCAAATTCCCTCTATTTCCCATTTGGGATGTAAACTTTAAAAAGGAGAGTTATACCTGAGCAAATAAAGGGGAAAATTTAAAAAGCAAATATACTTTTACAAAGAGAGGTATTTGTTCACTTATTTAATTTACTCTGTGGTATTAAATAAAGTATTCCCCTAAACCACAGAAAATTCAAATCAGATAAATGACTAATATATATGCATAATGGGTGCAAATTATGTAGATCTTTGGTGGAAATGATCAAAATTAGCCAATCAAGACACAAAAGAGAGAAATGAAGCCCAGAGAAGAGGAGAGACTTACTCTCCAGGTCACAAGGCATTAACCGTCAGAGCTGGGGCTGGGCTCCGCTTCTCTCACGCAGGAAGCCAGAGGTCTCCCACTCTCTCCACACAGGAGACACCAAGAGCACTTGTCGCTTGTACGGTTCATTTGGCAAACACCACAATGTAGCACAGGGAGTTACCTGTTGCCCTCATTGGGTCTCACCTGTGGCCCCTCATTTGTTCCCCTCATTCCTCCAAAGCAGAAATAACACAAACTGCATTCCTCTAATGCGCGAGGAAAGTCCTCACACAGGGCAAGTGCCTAATAATTATTAGTGAAAAGAGATGCTCATCTGATGTCCTAGAAAGTGTACAAAAGAAAGGTCCAAAATACATCTGTCATACTTTTAAGTTTAACGAAACTGGAATTTTCAGTTATAAAAAGTGTACAAAGTACTATTTTTCTATGAAAATATTCATCCCATTATACTTTTTAATAAAGTTCTTTTAATGTATTTAAAAGTTGCTATTTAGATAAATGTATATATTTGATTTTTAAATTAAACCTTCAAATAATAAGATTAAACATTTTTCTTTAGAATCTTAAATATCATAGGCCCAGAAATAAATTGAACTATGACAATTTTCTTTCCAATGAAGAGCAGATGCTGCCCTTATCTTTTGGTAAAGAGCATCAGAGAAAATTTAAGTGCTTAGTTCATAATCTACCTAAGCAAGTATATCATTCCTACCTGTTACAGCAAGAAGTGCACCAAAAATTTTAATCAAAGCCAGAACGAAGGAGATTCCAAAATACCCAGTGAGGGAAAAAAGAAAAGCATAACCGTAGGTCCGAATTAGATTCTGCAACATATAAAAAAGCCTGTTAGAAAAATGAATAACAAACCCTAAGGTATTACAAATGAAATAAAACCACAGATTTTAATCATCTTGAGCAATAATAAGCCATTCAACAATGCAGTCAAGCAAAGATTCTTATTTAGTTCTGATTTAATGGAAAATAATGATGAAATTTAAAATCTGCAACTTTTACATCATGAATAGCTTAAACATTAACTTAGAGGGTAGAGCAAGGATAAAGTAAATTTAAATATAAATCATTTCATTTATGAAATAATTTCTGATCTGCATATAAAGGAATTATCAAATTATGTAAAAAAGTCTTTAACAAGGGGAATTAGAAATACAGAGGAAACTATTTAATGAAAGCTGTTTATTTTTTTAAAATGTCATTAGTGTTTACCTTTGAACAAAATGTTACTGCAGGACCTAATCCACTAGTGCATGTCAATCCCAATAAAATGTATACAAAACCAATTGAATACGAATATAATACCTAGAGTAGATAAAAATAAAGCGGAAAAAAGTGATATCAAACCAAAGGTAAAAAATAAAGGATTTCAACATGTGGCTCAATAATCTGGTCAATTAAATCTGAGTAACATCATTGTTTCAACATGGATTAACTTTCTGGAAATGATGGTTCAGTTCAACTGTTCTAAGTCTATGCATCATTTTATCTGCAACATAACATAACAGTACCGATCCTTCTGGTTACAGAATTATTCATTTTTTTCCTGGCTTAATTACTGAATTCAAACTAGATTTTAATGTTGGCATTCTAAAAATGTCAACAAAACAAAAAAGTTTTATAGCTACTTATTAAACACAAAAACCCAAATGTTGTTTGCAAAGACATTAAAATATAACAAAGATAAGCAGTATATTGCATATTTATTGCTTAATTTACCAGTTTTCCAACGACCTTTCTATTCCAGTTTGTTACACTCATAAACAAATCAGAATCAAACTTCAATAACTGCTATGTGTCAAGTACTGTGCTAATAATTGCTCTGTGTGGATTATTCCATTTATTTCTAACCACCTAGACACAAGTACTTTTAATCATCATTTCCCAATTTTCAGACGAAGAAACTAAAACAGAGACACTGTCATTTGCTCCCAATAACAGAGCTAGTACAGGTAGGATATGAACTGGATCTACCTTAGACCAGAGCCTGTTGTCTAACCACTGTACTACATCAATTTTCTAATTACCTACATTTCCTTAACGCTTTTATTTTTACCTTATCTAGGATGAGTGGTGATGATGTTCAAGAAAACTTTGACCTAGATGAAAGTTCCTATGTTCCTAGGGACTCAGAGTATCCCCACTCTACTGACCAAAAAACCAGGAAAGCCGGTCCTATATCTCCTTAATGCAGTCTCCTCTACCTGTCTAGCAAGATGGATGGTTATAAAATTAATGTAAACACACACAATAACTGTCCTATATAAAATACCAATTGGTTAGGAGATATATTGGAAAGCGTTATTTGCTGTAACAATGGCAAAAAGATAAAATACCTAATAATAAGTTCAAAAGAAATATACTGGATTTATGAAGAAAATTTTAAAGTCTAAGGGACATTTTAAAAAGAACACTTGAATAAAAGGAAAGTCATACCTTATTCTTGGATTGAAAGAATCAAGGGTATAGATGCCATTCTCCCTAATTTAATTTATAATTCAATGCCATACCAATCACAATACCAATGGGATTTCTAGTTTATTTGGGGATATGAACACCCAAGAATAACTACTGGTAGTAACATTCTGAAAAACAAAAGGAACAGTGGTGGCTAGTCCTAATAGATGATAAATGTATGAATAAAGCTGCTGTCATCATATGGTTCTGGTGCAGAAATAAATTCAAAAGAATACAATTTTGGACCTTCAGTAAAATATGAATAGAAAGAAAATCATAAAAGCAATAGGCAACATAGGTAAAATTCTGAAATCTTAGTGTCAGGAAAGCCCTTTTCAATCATAATATACAGCAGAATGGTGAAGGAGAAGATAAACTGGACCGCATAAAAATTACCAACTTCTAAGTGGAAAATAATAACCAAATACAAAGACAGGAGAAATAATGTATAAAAGGATTTTTGATATGTAAAAAATATAAATAATTGGTGAAAAATTTATCAAGCACTATACCATAAACGATCAGCAGTGGTAGCAGCATTTTTACTTTCTTATGTTTGAATGCATTACTTTTGTGAAAATAATGAAAACCTAGTTTAAAAATCCAATCAATGCAAGTCAATACCGTAACTATTTAATAAAATTATTATCACCATTTTGCATCTGTCTAATGTGAAAAAAAACATGCTAGACTGTTTACCATTTCCGAATTAGAAGCGTTGTGCAGTTTCATAGCCTTCTCCTGCACATTTCCAATGACAGCATCTGCACACAGTGCCAGGGAAATAAGGATCACACCTTCAAGAAGGCACAGGAAAAAAAACCTCTTTATTTCAGCATATGAATGAAAATCAAGATTTGTCAGAGATATGATTGGGCTAAAAAACAAAAGCAGATCTTAATCACATTTGTTCTATAAAGCTGAGTATTTTTATCTACAACAATCTGTAACAGGCACACAGATCAAGTAGGTGATGTTATTTTTTAAAAAAGCTAACTGCATAAACTGCATTAATGCTGTCACCATTATTGTTTCATTGACCTGTTAAATGATAGTTCTGCTTTTAAACTAGATTATATGTTTGAGAGGAATATTGTATTAAATAAATATAGGAGACATTCTTAGAAGATTTATTGGGATTGGTAGTTAGTTACTTAAAAATCAGATGAAGAGGAAAACTATAAAAAATTACCTTTATTTTTTAAATGTTAATTTTAAACACATAAACATGCATGCAACTATTAAGGTATTTTCTTTCAATGAAGGTCCTAACTAAAATTGTGTACTTTTTCTTTTGTTTAACCCCCTCATGAAACACATTCTCTATAATTTTCAAGTTGTTTGGTTGAAAAGTATTATATGTACTATATATATGTATTTTATATATATGTATATAGTACATACAGTACATATATATCATGAACCTCAGAAATAAAAAGTACATCAAAAACTTAGGAACTTCTGAAAGAAGTTACTAAGAAAAATCTTTCATATTTTTATGATACTCCCAATTTTTATAGTTCTTCTATTCCCCCATAATTCAATAGTGATTTTATTGACTTGTCAACTAAATGGTTTCAATTTACTTAGTTTTTGCAGAAACAATTCTTTCTTCAAATTCAGTTTTGGATAATTCAAGTAAATATTTGATTATTATGTAGTTATGACAACAGGTACAACTGGCATAAACAAATCCAGAAATGAACACACTCATACAAACATGCACATCTCTGAAGCAGGTGCTTAACTGTGTTTAGGACTCTGGTCACCAGTCATGGTGCTTTACAGAAAGAATACAGAGCAGCCTTGGTTACACCTGTGAGTCTGAAGAAATTTAAGGGAGTTTTCTTTTTATTTTTTCAAATAAAAAGAATCAAAGGCAACAGAAAATATATGTACCCATATATGCACTTAACTGAGAATTTTCAAGTTTTCATACTTTTTCTTCAACTTGAATTTTTACTACCTAACTTGGGTATTATCTAATCATGCATTTTTTTCACCAAACTTGATTCTGAATGCGCTTTTACTTATTTCAAATATCAAATGTGTCCTCAAAAGAAAAAGACATGGTATTACTGAAGATCTGAAAACAACGGCCTAGCTCCTGCAAGGCTATTCAAAGATGTTCCAAAATTGCTCTGAACAATGGCAACAACACGAAATACTTTTATGAAAATACCTTAGTTGTATACTAAGGGGGAATATTTTAAAGTGAACATTTATTCAAATGAGTAAATCTGATACATTCTTCTATACATTCAAAGTTGTATTTATGCCTGTCTTAATCACTGGAATAGTTGATTTAATCTCCTTTAGATAATATACTCTTACAGATCAGGGACTGTGATAAGTGCTTATCAACTATTCTTAATAAGAAAGTATGGTGGGGTTCCAGTATCTCCATGAACCCAGAAAGGGTTAGCACTTAAGCTGCAGTGAGGAATTACAGAACCACCTCTTTCCATCATTATCATCACCACCATCACCTCACCCGACCAAGTGTATTTGCTTTCACAACATTATTTCATCATCTCACTCTATCCTCTCGCTACCTGTGAGGCAAACTGTCATCGCTGTTTCTGGGTAAGTGAAGCACAAAAGTATCCAGCAATTTAGCCACAATGACATTGGTAAGTGATTGAAACAGAATTTGAAACCATGTCTCTGATAGCAAATTCTGTGTTTGTCTAAATGTATTTTCATTAAATACAAGAGTCAATTTCCCTAGTTTTCAAGTATAAATTTTTTAAAATTTGTGGACATGAAAACAAACTGTTTCTGAAAAATCGAAACCATGCAAGAAACAACTGCAACTTTAAGCTTTCTCAGGGTAAGACTCCTTAAATAAGGACCTCTTGTACTCTGAGTGGTCCAAGTTGAAAGAACGGGTGTAAGAGGTTCTACCAGATCTCCTAGTTCTTAAAAGGATGCTCCAAGGGGCTGAAGTGGTTGTATTTAAATCCCTTAACTTTGCCTGGTTAACCAGATTAGTAAGAAAGGTTGACTGACAGTAGCAACAACAGTGAAGCTGATGTACATGATTTTCTTCATTATTTAATACTTCCTCCTCACAAATAATTATATTTACTACACTTTGTAATATATATTACATATGTCCAAAAAGTATCCAGCCAAGTAATATGAAAAATAGAAGCCTTTATTGAAGAAGATACAAGATACAAGAAACATTGTACACAGGACAATGATACCTCAGTCCCCTTCACAGTAGGCACCTTGGGACCTCACACAGTTCTCCAATCAGCTGCCCTACAGTATTTTCCTGAATCCCATCAAAGCTCTAAAATCTTTTCCTTTCAAAGGTGATTTTAGTTTTGGGAAAAGCCAGAAGTCACAGGGCATCATAGCTGGACTGTAGGGGGGCTGTGTCAGCTGGGTGATTTGATGTTTCACCAAAAACTCTGCACAAGACATGATGCATAAGCGTGTATTGTCGTGATGAAGCTGCCAATCACCAGTTGCCCATAGCTGTGGCCTTCTGAATCATCCAGACAGTTTCTTTCCATGGAAAAATATTCAATCAAGCTTAACGTAAAATTTGATGCACATTTTATTGCTCTACTTGCTCAAATGTGATGGCCACACAGTACACATGCTCACTCAATGGCATTTACTGCCCTCGCTGACTAGTAAGTATACTGAAGTAGTCATTGTTCACGCATGCATATTCCAATCCACTCTCCCTAAATTTTTTTTTTTAATTTTAGACAGAGGAAGAGGGGAGAGAGAGACACACCCACACACATATCAATCAGCTGCCTCCCATATGCACCCTGACCTGTGACTAAACCCACAATCTAGGCAGATGCCCTGACTAAGGATTGAACCCTCAACCTTTTGGTATATAGTGCAGGGATAATGCTCCAACCAACTGAGCCACCCAGCCAGGGCAAAGACCTAGATATTTTTTCAATAGCCTGTTCCGTTTTGGCAGGGTAGGAGAGGAGATGACACTAAAATAATTTTATGAGTAAAACTCAATAAGTTAAGAGTGATAATATGTATACATAAATAATTCATCCATAAAGTCCTCAGAATAAAAACAAGATTCCAACAAGTATTTTTTTATTCTTATTTATTTCCAAACATACTATAAAATCTATTCTACTTGTGGAAAAAACCCTAAATTTAAATTACAAAATTCCACATGGCACACTATTTATGGTGGAAACTTTAAGCATGTTAAGGTTATAACCATATTAATACAGCACAGCATACCTTACCTTCTTCAGCTAAAACAATGACAAGTAAGTGTGCAAGTTTCCATAAAGAAAATGAGAATACAAAATTACTGTGATTCTCCTATAATTAATGTGTATATTTCCAATTCAGCCCATAAGAAATTGATCTATCATGTACTTGGTAACAGAAAATTTTGACTGAGCAAACAGCTTTCTGTGATGTCAGAATACATGAGTAATAAAAATAATTGTTATACTTCCAGAGTTGTAATATTTTTACTACAATACTCTTATAAGTAAAAGTCCATAGTTAAGAATGACAATATGTATACATAAACAAATTCTCCGTTAAGTGTTTAGAACAAAAACAAGATTCCAACCCATACTTTTTATTCTTACTTATTTCTAAACATACTGTTGCATCTATTCTGCTTGTGAAAAAAACCTAAAATTAATTTACAAATTCCACATGGGACACTATTTATGATGGAAAGTTTTACGTTAGATGAGAGAATTACAAATGTCACACCATCAATTAAAATCCTTATGAAACTTGTAAACCAAACTGCCTACAAAATCTTGGAAGACAATAAAGTTCCTTACCTGTCAGGTTGAAATTGGGCGCAATTGTGCTGTCAGCGAGGGTAAACCATATCAGACCAAGGCTCATACACACGGCGGCAGACACATCTGCAACATTGTAACGCTTGCCTGTGTAATACAAACATTAAGTCAACCTCGCAATGGAAAGATCCAGTCAGGGCAGTTTTAGATCTCTATGTTTAACCAAGTAGATCAGGGGTCTTCTTTTTATCTCTGATGTCAAAATATATGAAGAACACTGGTTCTGAAAATTAAATTATCAGTGAGCACCACTGTGTCCTAATAAGTTAGATATGAGATTCCATTTTATCTGGTATGATGGTGACTAAATATGAACATTTAAAAAGTTAATGAAAATTAATGCCTCTTTTTTCTTTATATATAAGACTATGAATAAACTTTCTTATAAACTATAAGAAATTGTAGTTTATAAGTTCATAAAGTAACTAGAGTAATTATTCAGGCTATATAACTGTTTAAGTTTGCAAATACCATAATCGAGTAACTAACTTTTGGGTTAGTGAGAATCAACTTATTTTAACATACCCACATTTAAATAACAAAACCATGTAGTGTAACTTTTTGGAAGGATTGTAAGGGAATATACATGCCCAGTTATGATATTAAATGTGATGTTTAACAGGGATTAATATAATTAATTTTTCCTATGTAAAATAGTTATGAGACATACTTTCATTAAAAGGTTTTTTTTTTTTTGCCAAGGCATCTTAAGCATAAAATGAAGTCAGGCTGTACAAGAACATCAGTGATATGAAAACAATTATTAAAACATGAATATTCCTCATGACATTTATACAAACAATTTATTCTGCTGCTTGTTGCTACCATTGCCTCCTCTTCCACTGCTCTTTCAACATAGCTTGTAACTTCATTGGAGCTCTAAAAAATCAATAAGCCAGCAGAACTGGTAAAAAAGCAGTTCTGCTCAGGTTAAGCTGCACTTCAACGTAAGAACTGTCCGTCTGTATATTGGAAGTAGGAAGCACTCGGAGCTCTAAAGAGTACAAGGATAAAAGAACTGAAAGAAGGAGCTTTCCAGGTACCTAGGTACTTCTGAGCTAGGCCCTCAATATGTGATCACTGTATTTCTGGAAATGCAAGTAGATTCCGGATTAAAAGAATAAAGCAAAATACCATTTTTATTCTACTTGAGTTCAAGTCGTTGATTTCAGATATTAACGTAGACCACAAGTATTAGTATTTTTATAATACCTTATTTTTGTATCACTCAGAATTGATACAATATTTAGAATGTTCATTAAATTAACCAATGTTTAATATTTTTCCTAATGCTAGATGCTGTAACATATCCTACTAGTTTCAAACAGTATGAAAATATGTCATTACTGTACCTTGAATAAAAACTCCTCCTATCATAACAGGAATCAACTTGCAGCACTTGAAGATGACTTGGGTAGGGTAATTCAGGTAGCCCAAGGAAGTGTTTGATAACCCCATAGTACCCACAGTTAGAAAAGCTATTACCATGTAGGTTTTTCCTGGTATTCTGTAAAAGACAATTTTAAAATCTTTATTTTGGGACCCAATTCATATTTGTTAGATAATGTTTTTACACTGTGTAAATGTCTACTTACTCTTTTTATTTGTTTAATGTTTCTAGAAATACTCGTAAAAAATCACTATTTTAAAGTTTTAACACTCTAGTTATATAAATTAACAGCACTAAAAATAACAACTCACCTCTAATTAATCAATCTTAAGTGAGAACTCCTGTGTGAAAAAGTGGTATACAAGAGTCACTTAGATTCTTACTGTATGTATAAGGCATAAAAACTATCTTGACTAAATTTAGAAAAATATTTTAAAATATTGGTTTCTATAATGGTAAAAGGTACCTTAACAAATTTTTAACTTATAAATTGTTCTGTTTCTTGATGTTTCCATCTAGCATTAGGAAAAATACATTCACCCATTCTGCTAGAGTAAACTGGGCAGAATTTCTCTAGAAAAAAATACATATTTAAAACTCTGGTCATAATTTTTATTAGCACCTCTTATGACTCATCTCCAATTCTGTATTCTGTGAGTCAACTTTCTGATGAGGAATCTGACTCTCTCCTTATGAACCTAAGTAATAAGTTCTTTTATGATTTAAGTTCTATTTGGATTTCCTATAGAAAATTCCTCACTTGGAATCTTCAGAATTTTTAGCTATCATTGCAAGCATAGGTTCACTTCGACTAGACATTTAATGGTCTAAAAGAATAATCTTGTACATTGGTGTGACTAACACAGGAAGCACTACACACATAATTACATTATATTGCCTCCTAGATCTAGTTCCTATTTTGGGCTTTGTGTTCATGTTTAAATCAAGGCAATAACATTTTTCAGATTTTTTATTATGGCTGGACACAAGGCAAAATAATTTACTGGAAAAATTCAATTAGAATGTAACATTTACAGTTATGTTTCAATTTTGAGGCTTTTCCTACTTAACTACTACTACAGTGGTCAACATCTAAAATCCATATGGAAATAATTTGGCATGCCTGTATGCATCATTGAACACAAACACTGATTTTTACGCTGCTTGTGGAGTTTAACCCTCAGTGAGATATCATCAGGGAAGGAGGGTAGCTCCGTTTCGCTAGGTGAGAGAACCTAGGCCAGAAAATAAAAATTCACGCAAGAAAAATCACTAGGAATGATGATTAGAAAGCAGCATAGTACAGGTAGGAAAAGAGAAAACAACAACAACAAAAAACCAAGCCTGAAACTCAGAAAACCTAAATCCAAAAGGATCCAACTCTATGAGCAACTTGTTATATGATCTCGTGAAATCCCAACAGTCCTCTAGGCCTTTGTGGTCTCATTGGTAAATGAAGAAGTTCAAGTTCATCACCTTGCCCCTAGGACTCTCAAGACTTCTATTTTTATTTAACACCCCAATTGCTTACCTTCCTAGATATGGTGGAAAAATTTTAACTTTAAAAGGCTCAGTCAAAACCAATTGGACAGATCTGCTTTATTACAAACTCATATAAAGTAATTAATGAAGTTACAAGGCAATCTTTCTTGAAAAATAAGTAGTATATTTAGAGAGTTACACTTCACAATGTGCTTCACCACACCATCACATTTGATCCTCAAAATAAAGCAGAAAGAATTTAAGAAACTTCCCTGCAATCTTAATAGAGCTAATGAGAGGCGATGCAAGACTCAAATGTTTTCTGACTCTAAATCCTGTACTCTTTCAAGTACACTGGTATTCATGTAAACATAGTAAGAAAGACATAAACTAAGCAAAAGTCTAAAGAGCAAAGCCACTTAAATAAATTCAGAGATGGGTATATACTCAGAAATAAATGATTAGGTGTATTTTATTGTAACATACCTTTAAAGACTTTTTCTACAATAGTTTTTCATGTGCTCTGGAATAAAATTTTTCAATTCATAATTGTATTCATTATACATCTACACATTCTTCTACTAAATTCCTTCACTTATGTTTAAATCAAACACAAATGACTTTATCTTCAAATATGTATGACTGTATGGTTTAAAGGTTGGGATAAATCAACATGGCTTGGGGCCCCCACTCCATCTCATTTTGGTAGCTCAGAGGGAGGTGTATCTTTTTAAAATTTAACATTGAGGAGATAGTTTCCTTGTCGCTTTTCATTTAATAGATAGTATTAGAGTCTTTTATTTTATTTTATTATTATTATTTTTAATCTTTTTTTAAAAAATATTTTATTTATTTGTTTTTCGAGAGAGGGGAAGGGAAGGAGAAAGAGTGGGAGAGAAATATCAATGTATGGTTGCCTCTCATGGGTCCTCTGCTGGGAACTGTCCTGCAACCCAGGCATGTGCCCTGACTGGGAATCGAACCGCAATACTCTGGTTCCCAGGCCTGCGCTCATTCCACTGAGCTACGCCAGCCAGGGCAGAGTCTTTTATTTTAGAAGCAACAGAGGTCCAGTAGTTTGCAATAGGTAATGAATCATACAATGAACTTGGGTTTGTTGTATACTAGTCTTGACAGATATATTTGATTATTTTCTGTTCTATCACCTATGTCTACATCTTATAGAGTTTCAGAGAATGAAAATAATGAAGATGTCTTCAGATTCAAACATTTTTAATATCACTGCTATAATAATTTATTGGCAATATACAGAAATTGAGAGGTAAATCAGACCCAAGAAGAAACACTGGAGATACAGATCTGAATATTGAAAATTTTATAGTTATCTTCATACAAACATCAAAAACATTTATGTAAGAAATAAAAGTTGTGAAATTTAAACATTTACATCAATTAAGACAGACTGTCAGTGCAATATTAGAGCTTATTGCATTTTATATTGTCCCAACATATGACTGATTCACACATTAGGCTCTGATATGTCAGGATAGTCACTTACATTTACCAAAAACTTATATTCAACTTCCTAGCCACCATTTAATTATAATCAGAGGTAAGGTTTTATTGCATATTGTCCTATATGCCATTAAAAATATATGAAGGTATTTCTATAATCTAGATGGCCAATTAAAATATACTGTCAAACAAGCTCCTTCAGTTTTGATAAAGAGAAATGTTATGAAATTTCTCTGATGACTAAGAATGCAACCTCAGCTACTAGACAGTACAAGTATGACAATGTTAAGTAAAATCTATCTCACAAAAAAATTACTGCAAATTTTAAAAACCACTATGGAAACAGGTATTGATATTTTACTTCACAGGTTTTGATATTTTTAATATCAAAATTATTATTGACATTTTAATGTAGCAGCACTGTAAATCTTTTAGTTATCACTTATTTCAGTGACATTTATAAAATATGCATGCACATCTGAATACATTCTTAAGATGATATATTGAATACAAGTTGAGCCTAAATTACATTTTTTTGATAACTTACACTTAGAGATTATTTTTTCAATGTGTAATGGAAATATCATATTTAATATTCTTACTAAGTTGATTATACTGATAAAAATGCTTGGGTTTTAGATATGTTTTATTAATGGGAAATGTATATTTCATGTATAATATACTCTGTGTACCCAAAAAGCAGAATAAAAAAATTAGCTACTATTAGTGAACTTAACTGTGAAAAAATAAAAACAAACATACCACATACCTTCTCCTTTTGTCCTGAATAAGCTGAAGTTCTATTAGGCCAAATATGGAGTAAAATGCAAACTGTACTAAAGTAAGGTACCAGCCATAGGACTTAAAACCCTCCATTGAAAATATTAATTCCTGTCAAAAGATACATGAATAGTGTTAATTTCAAGAGGCAGACCAATTTCCTCACAATAAATTCCTATAAGCGCAACATTGTAAAAAACACTCAAATCACAAAACTTCTCAGAGGTATAATTAGAGAAGTTAGGTGGCTTTTCCATGGAACTGACACTAGATATCCATGTACAAAAATCAGGAGAAAAATTTAAAAGGTGAGGGATAGCTATGAAGCTACATTATTCTATGCTTTATTTTTAAAGACAAAAATGGAAAGAGTTGTCCCCAAAAAGAGAAAGGTAGCTGATCCAAGAACGCATCCACTATTCAAAAAAGCTTATTTCATTATAAGTCAGCTATTTCAGGTCTGTTTTTCTACACAACTATAATCATTTTATATCAATTTAAAATTTTTTTGAATACTTGTACCACAGATTACATAACACTTCTCTTTGTAGAGGAAGTGGTTACTATACCTAAACATAATGTCATACCACGAGGTATGATATATACCTATATTCTATGTATATATATATATATTCAACTGTATTTTTTTTAATGAGAATTATGTATGAATTTTTTTTCAAAGAAAAACTCAACACACCCTTTAAATAGACCCTGAACTAGATTTTGTACATTTAGGATATGCATAATTCCTCAAATTTAGACTTCATATTCAAGTAAGTCTGCAAGTTTTTAGGATTTTTCTGGTTTATGAACTATGAAACATGGAAGTAGTTTTATTTAATATTTTGGCATTCAGATTATATATATAGCTAACTTCATTACAAAACACCAACCATTTTCTTCAAACTATTTTAATGGGCAATTATATGTAAGTTAGTAGCAATGTCAGTTTTCACAAAGTGATAGTGATGTTACAAACACAATTATGGTGATTTATCTACTTTTAAAAGAAACTTTGCACATATTATTTATAAATTAAAACCTCTGATCATTATTAAATAGAAATGATTTGATGAAATTCATACAATAAATTTATAATTCATTTTTTGCAACATTTTTCTTTGTTCCCAAGTTATTTGGTAAGAATGCTGTATTTTAACAACAAAAAAAGTTTTTCCAACAAGAATTCTAAATTTACTTTATAAAATGTACTGTTTTTTATTGTTATTCACTGACACCAGAAATTTTATACCATTTTCAAGTGACAAAGTCAATTATTATTATAAATACTAAGATTTTTAACTCATATTTTGTTTTACACTAATACTCTTCATAGTATTTTTATAAGCTAAGGACTAGTCAAAAATCACCTTCTTTATATTTAAGTTTATATTTCATCTCTGTAAGATAATAGAAAAGAATACAATGATTAAGCTCACTCTGATTAATACTACAGAGTACCAGAAATATCTGCATTTGAACAAAAACATATCCTTTCCTTTCCTGGAATTATAAAAGGTTCTCTCATGTTAGGGAATTGAATTAAAAAAGGCAAAGCTGGTAATATATTGGCTGAATATACTAATGTACTAACCATCAATAATATTAGTCCATTCAAACATTGTATTTACACTAGCTTGGATCCTCCCATCCAGCCCAAATCTTTGAAGGTCAAGAATATCCTGCTGGTCAAATGTATACATCTATGCCATAATACAATGCAAAAGTGAGACAAACTGTGGCAATGTTAGAAACGTTTTGTGCAGGTAAAAGAAAAATCTTACAGAAAAACAAGGTTCTGGCAAAGTGAGAAAAAGAAACCAAGAATGAAAGCACAAAAAAAAATGACTCAATGATAACAGAAGAGTTACCTTTGGAAAAATATAAAACATCCTGATATACTTTTCCAAAAAAATGATCTATTATTATTAAGCTATAAGAATTAAGAATGAACTGGAATATGACTTTCATGCTATCATTGTATTGGAGAATTATTTTCCAAAAGAGCAATCAATACTTGAATTATTCACTTTTGAAAAGTAATTTGTAATTATCTATATTTTGTTAAATATTTCATGTTTTTTCATAATTTTAGTTTTTTAAGATTTTCTCGGCTCCCTTTCTCTTCCTTAAAATACTGAATCCTTAAACTGTGACCTCATTTTTCAGCAGACTTACTTTTAAGAAGTCCTTTTCTATTATTATACAGAAAACATCATATTTGTGAAGAAACTGGTAACTCATAAAGGAAAACATCTTGAACAAAACCATTAAGTGCTCTTATTGGCCTTGTTATAAATAATTGCTGTAAAAAATAACTATTTTTTTTACCTGTAAATATCCATAAATGAGGTAAAATATAAAAACTCCAGCAACACATATGAAAAACTGAGTAAGTTTGTTAAATCTGCTGAGATTTATGCCAAGTACTATAATGTCATCTATTGACTTGATGTGTGGTGACATTGTTTGGGTTTTGGATGGGACAGTTATAGAAATATGTTTCCTGGAGTTGTTGAACTTGAGGTCCATGGTTCTTATTTTGCCACATTCAGCACTTCCAAAGTTATCTTTGGTTTCTTCTCCTTTGTTCAGTTTTTCTTTTGCTTGTTGAGCTAAGTCCTAGAGAAGGAAATAAGCAATTTAAGCAGAACATTTGGATCATAAAGTATAATGCTCCAAATAACATTTCAAATCACACTTTAAAAACTATACAATTAAGTCTCATTGTCTCTGGATATAAACATCTGAATTCCCCTATTTGAGCTTCCAATCAACCAAAAACAATGTTAACTCTCCAATTTATCATTAGCTGGTAAAGAGCAATACAGCATTAAATTAAGTACATACCATTCTCATTTCTGCAGCAACAAACCAGAAAGCAAACTTGTATTTATTTCATCAAAGAAGTAAACATGCCTTCGTTTTTATATGTAGTAAGGATATAATTTTTAAAGCCCACAATAGTTTGATGCATAACATCTTCAACGGTAATGTCAATTCTTATTTGCAGAAAAGAACCTATGCTCTTCTCAATTCTAAGACAAATGGAAAATATATTTGCTAATGACATTTAAAAATAAAAGCTGTAAGTTATTTAAAAAGGTAGATTTATCAGACTAGAGAAAGGATAATATGCTTTAGCAATAGCAACTCTTAGGTAAAAACAACATGTTTTCTTTCTTTGGAGAAAATAATTTTAATTTTAAAAGTTTTGGGGGTGGTATTGTTCAATGGGTATAACGTTTCAGTTTACTAAGATGAATAAGCTCTAGAGATCTGCTAAATAACAAGAGTGCCTATAATTAAAAACACGGTGTTGAGCACTTATCAGAGGGTAGATCTGATGTTAAGTGTTCTTAACACCACAAACACACACAAAAGGGGACCCAAAAAAACTTTTGGAGGTGATAGATATGTTTATTACCTTGATTTTGGTGATGTTATCACAAGTGCATGCATATATCCAAAGTCATCAAGTTGTACATATTAAATGTGTAGGGTTTTTTTATATGTCAATTAAACCTTAATAAAGCTGTTTAAAAAACAAAAGAAAAAAATCTTTGGGATTGCAAAAGCTGGGAAAGACATCATTTCTGTTAAGTATGTAAAAAAACCCCACGAAGACTCCATAGATGACTGTCAATTGCTCTTTGTATTCATACAGGGTGGGGCAAAAGTACATTTACAGTGTTTGCATGGAAAATAATACAATAATTAATAAATAATACAAGAATAAACTTTGTTTTGCCTACGCACAACTGAAAACTTAAAAATGTAAAATATTAAATGAAGGACTCTAATATACTTTAGTAAACACTATTTAATTAATAGTATTGCTCATCTTTCTAATACTTTGCCACTTCTAACACACCTATTGGCAATCTTATGAGCCACAGATCTATGCCAGACATAGACTTAAATCCTTCTGGCACTGTTACTTCTTGGACATCTGTGCTAAAATACTGACATCTCTACTAAAATTTTCCACAAAGCATCTAAAATGAACATGGAAGTAAATTCATTTCCTTTGCCTACTTAAGGCATCAGAAAAAATCTGCTCTTTAAGTCCTTCCATTTAGAATGCACTTTTATTAATCAGAACATCACTGGTCTGATCATGTGACTGATGAAGGAAGACCCTGTGAATTCTGACACCAAATAACTGTAATCCTAAATGTTTGCCATATTCCTTCCACTTCAGACATTAATGATATTACTAATCAACATCTAAAGTAATTGGGCCAATGTCCTTGTGGTGCAGGAAAATAAAATCAAGCATAAAGTTAAAATTAGTTTGCAAATTTTAACTAATCAACATTTTGCTTTATTTTAGAAGTTCACAGTTAACTCTTGAAACTAAGTACAAAAAATCCACAGTTGTGAAACAGTGCCTGGGTCCTCTTACTACAATTAACAACATATTTTGCTTTAGTGACGTAAGGGAACAAATAACTGCTCAAAATGAATTAAAGGGTAGCTTTGCTAGCCCATAGTGAAATTGAAAAGTTATAAATAACTGGTGACAATGACCTACTGAAGTCAAAATTTTTACAGTAAATTTATTAATCTAGTAACATATAAAGTACAAAAAAAAACCACATTTGGCTAAATTACTTTCAAATACTGCTATATCTTCCTTCCAATTCCCAAATAACCCCAATTCACTTAGAAAATGCCTACCCCAAAATCAATTCTCGACAAACAAACACTTCTTGGCACACTACACCATCCGGTGTTCATTCAATATTTAAAATAAAAATAAAGTGGGGAAGAGAATTAAACTGCAAAGATTGGACTAATCAGCATAACTTCTGTGAGAAGTTTATGACAAGAATTTAATAACCTGGTCAGTACAATCACTTTGCACTTCAAGTTAAATGGACAGCAGATTTAAGGTAGAAACCACAAGAAGGTCTTTACTAAAATGCAGTCTTGAGGAAAGCAGGCGACTGGTGTTTCTCCAGAGAACTAAGTCGCCCCTGTAGGTGGCTGTAAACCTGCGAGTCTACGAACCGGGGCTGGAGGGAGTTCCGGCTACTCGAGGGGGCCGAAGGGGAAAAAGACGTAGCGCCTCCCTAATGACAACGAGTTTCCGTTCTTTAAAAAATGAAGTCACCCGTTTCTCAATCTGACCTCATCCTCTCCCTGCACGCTCGTCAAGGATGAGGGGAAGGTTCTCTGGGGAGAGGGGATCTGGGTCCCAAACAAGGAGAAAGGCCCGGGCGGCGTAAGCACTCCTGAGCCGGAGTGTCACCTGGAAGGGTGACCCCAGGCTGGATGTCGCCACCCAGACACAGCGTCTCCCCCTCCCCAGGTCCGTCACCATCACCTCCAGCTTCTCCTCTTCGCCTACTCCAGCCCTTTCCGCTGCTGCAGCCGCCTCCTAGCAAAGGTCCCCTCTGTGCCGGCCTTCCGCGACACTTCCGCCTAGGTGTCACTGCGCGCCTGCGCAGCTCTACGGCCCCGCCTCCTGCTCAAGCCTTCGACAGCTAGCGGCCAGGACCCGGTTTCCTCTTGCGCATGCGCTTTCTCCCCTTTGACGCGGTTGAGAGCGCTGGTGGTAAGCGCAACGCTGCGGGGACTGCACTTATTTACTCACAAGAAGTTGCGTTGTGGCCGCGACCATCGATGGGGTCCAAGTTCTCATTCTTTGATCTGCTTGTTCCTGGGTCCGAGCCTCTGAGCTTCTGCAGCCTCTTTGTTGCCTGCGACTCCTTGGCTACCCCAGCCCCCTGGGCAGTCCACAGAGGAGAAGTCCACGTCAGTGGCCCAGCGCTGAAGTTTGACAACTTGGCCAAGTGAAGAAAGTTGAATCCAAATTTAGAAACCCTTGGGCTTCCCTCTTCCTTCTGCTTAATGATAACCAGACGGGGCAAAGTCATCAAACCTTTCTCCGCTTCCCTGTACTTTGCCTGACTTGCACCTGCTTTCTAGTGTAAGTGGACTTAAGTAACACTTGGGTTGCCTCTGACGTTATAATTCAGCCTGTAGCTACCACAACCCGGGTTCTTTCAGCGTGACAAGTGTTGCTTGTATTGTTTTAACAGTGTTACTTACTGCTCAGAATGTAAATCTCATAGCTTGACCAGCCATCAAACTCCTAAACATTTACCCTGGGTTTAGGGCTACAGCTACAATTACTGGGGTGTAATAATGTGAAAAACCAAGATGGAATAGGTGATAGTTGTTTTTCGGCAACACTGGAATGATATGGAAGGCAAATATTGCTATAACAAAGCTGGACCATTTTTGAGTGCACTCTTTGGATATCCACAAGGGCATGAATTGGACTAATATGTGTTAGAATCCAGTCAGTTATTGTAGCTTTTAAAATTTCACAGGCATTATACAGAAAGAACATTTGTGTTTGTATTGGGTATTAGGGCTTCTGTTGAAGTATGGCAGATATCTCCCATCGTAAGTTGTTGTATTCAGGAATTGTAAGTCAACCCCTTGTGGCTAAGGGTGAACGATGACCTTTGGAATGCGAGCCACAGGAGACAAAGCTTGTCTCTGGTAGCAAACTCTGCCTCAGTTTCCTCTCCCTGCCCCTAAAGCTTGGTCAGAAGTCAGTGAAGGGGGTAAGACCCCTCACATCAGGGGGCAACCTAGGCCAGACACAATCACTTGGGAGGCCTTCATGGAAGAACTGGGGGGGGGGGCTGCAATAAAGAGGGAGCAATGGACTCTCACCTCCCTGGCTTTGACATAGCCTGAGTACCCATGGTCTCTGGGAGAAGCGCTCTAATCCCCTTAAGCCTGAAAGCTGTTGGGGAGGGGTGCAGCTCCTTGTCTTGTTAGAGTGTGTCCTGGGGGAAAAAATCAGGCATCACAAAGACTTCCTGATAAACCTGTGAAATCTGTACTGCTAAGAATGCTTTCATTCATATGTTAAGGGTTCGAGCAGGAAACCCTAAAACTCTGTTCCTGACAGACTCTGATACTAAGCTCTCAGATTTCTTTGAAATATTATCTACTGTTTGATCCTTGCTGCCCTGTATTCCTGTGTATTACAACACAATAAAAGTCCACTGCAGGAGGGAGCTCAATGCCTTTTTCCCCTGAGAAACTGGCCACTGCTCAAGGCCTTTTTCCTCTGGGAAAATGGCCACCTCTACTCCCCAAGCAGATCACATCATGTCTCAGTCATGATTATTCTCATAATAATCATGAGAATATTATTAGTCCGGCTGGGGGGACTTGCAAGGAAAGTTGCCCCCCACAGTAAGTGGTGGGTATGGGGCTAGGCATTTTCATTTAATCCTCACCAACTTGATTGGTAGGTGTTATCAACATTTAAAAAATATTGAAATTAAGGCTTGGAGAATAACATTTTCTTAAAGAAGTCGTAAATGACAAAGGCTTTCGGTGATGCCATACTGTTACCTAAATAATATGGATTTAATACTGTTAGTATATCTTAAACAACAGTTATTGAGTCCCTATTAAATAGACATGTACATAGGTCACGTTCATGACCCATCAATTACAAGTATGAGCTCCCTGCCCTCAAGGAGTTATGGATATAAAACAAAAAAGGTAAATGCTGGTACAAAATAACTTACAGTACAAAAGGTGTCATGAGGCACCATCTGTTCATGGCTGCACAATTGCAGTAACAATAGGTCTTTCTACCACTTTTTATTTCTCTACATCCAAATTCCTTCAGTAGGTGGAGTGACCATTTCAGAACCTGTGACCGAATACACATTTTTCTGCTTAGGACACTTTTATGATTTACTGTTTTATTTAGATTAAAGTTTTTTTTTCTTTTTTCCTTTTTATTTTAATTGTTATTCAAGTACAGTCTTCTGCCTTTTACCCCCATCCCAGCCCACCCCTCCAGCCCTTCCCACCTCCCTCCCATTTCTACCCCTGCTAGTTTTTGTCCATGTGTCCTTTATACCTGTTCCTGTAAACTGTACCTCTTTTCTTCCGAAATTCCCTTCCCTCTCCCCCCTGGTCACGGTCAGCCTGTTCTCAATTTCACTGTGTTTGGTTATATTTTGCTTGGTTTGTTTTGCTGATTAGGTTCTTGTTAAAGGTGAGATTGATACAGGGTGCAGCCAGGGGGGCCCCCAAAAAGATTTGGAATGGTGTCCAGAATTCAAAGTGTATGGGAATAATGGAGAGACATATAAGATGTCCTCACCCCACCCCCACAGGTGTGAGTTGGGGGGGAAGGGACAGTTTTGCACAGCCACAGCCTTGCAGCTAATCCATGGCATTGTCTTTTAACATATCTATGGCCTCTGGCGGTCACTTGGATATGTTAAATGGCTGTGGCCAGGCTTGGAGCTAGGGGGATGAAGTCACTTCCCCCAAGATGTAACTGGGGGCAGGTTCCCCCCAAGTTACAGCGCCTGCGTAGGGGCTTGGAGAAGATTGGCTCGAGGACATGGGATGATTACTGCCCAGACTAACGATGGCAGCCCAGTAAACTTGTATTAATACAGAATACTGGCAGGTGTAACTGATCTTGGGAGGAGTCGGAAATAGGGGTACAGAGGAAGATGGGTGCTGGGATTTAAGAGCCAGGCACGGCAGCCATTGAGAGAGAGCCACACGGTTTCAGCAGAGTGAGGACCCCCTCCAGGTGAGGTGAAAGAGGGAGACACGTGGTTTTGGCGGAGTGTGGACCCCCTCTTTCCCAGGTGAAAGGGAAAAACCACGCAGCTTTGCCAGAATGGAGATCCCTGCAGCCAGGTGAAGAAGACAGCCACATGCTTTTGGTGGAGCGCGGACTCATGCAGCTTTGGTAGAAGAGGCCCACGCGGCTTTGGGATGCCCCCTTTGGCCGAGGGGCCTGAAAAGCAAGAGAGACTTTGACTGGAACTGGGTACAAAGGACTCTTGCCAGTGGACCATGAGAGGGTACCACAGTACTTTGGATTAACTCAAGATCCTGCCTGCACAGTGACACAGCTGACGGTGCCAGCAGCCTGCAACACAGACGTGTGCTCTTTTCCTGATTTACGGTACCCGGAGTTGGGACAGTGGGAGAAGGGAGCGCTGTGTGGGTGTAGGTGTACAACCTAAAGGACTTTGATATTTTAGTGGAGGCATTAGGCTTGAATAACATTAAATAAACATTTTGTTTCCTTTTCACAAATCTCTGGCATTAAGAGATGTCTTTCCAATTGGCGGCGGACAGAAGGGCCCAGTAGATTTTAGTATTTTGGTTTTCGGGAGGGGCCCCTGTTGTATAGCAGTTTTGGGCATCCCTGGATGGGCCAAATATTGTATTGCCCCTCCCTCGGACCTCCTCCTCTTGTTCGGTAACAAGATCATATGGTATTTGTCTTTCACCACCTGGCTTATTTTGCTTAGCATAACGCATTCCAGTTCCATCCATGCTGTCACAAAAATTTTTATTGTGACCTCTAAGACAGGACTTGATGTAGATGGACCATATCCACAGCAACTCTTCAAAGGCCCTCTAACCCTCCCTGAGCATAGAAGCATCAGCACCCTAGGCTTACTGTGCCTTCTGCGTGGAATGCTGCCCTCCCAGATGTCCACAAGACGTGCTTCCTCATTTTCTTTGGGCTGGTACTCAAAGGTTCTTCCCTGCCAACCCTGTCTAGGACAGCTAACCCCTGTGTGGGCATACGTGCGCACGTACACACACACACACACACACACACACACACACACACACACTCTATCCTTACTCTGCTTTTCTTATCTTCATAGCAATTATGATCACATACTACATAGTTGTTGTCTGTCTACCTCACCTCTTTTTGCTATTGTATATTTGTTCTACAAGAGCAGAGATTTTGTCTTATTTATTTACTCCACCATCAAGAAAGAGGCTTGGTACATAGTCTGCACTCAGTAAGTCCTGTGTGAATGACTAAGATTAAGTGCCAAATGAGTGTTAAAATAGTAGAGTGGAAATTCAGAATAAGTATTTAAGATATTGGCTGGAGTGGCTTATGAAGGCTTCCTTTAGAAGGCAGAACCAAAATGGTGAGGAGGATTCAAATGAGCTTACCAGGGGGGAGGAAAGGGTAGGCCAAGCAGAGTCAACCAAAATAAACAGAAGCATTAAATAAGACAGTAATCCAATCCACAGTAATGCTAATAGGCTGATTTCTAAAAGCATAACTAAAATAGGAAAACTGCTAAGAACCGATCTGTGAAAATTCATCTTGCCTTATCAAGGTCTAATAATAATTTCTCTTAGCAAGACACCTTTATAAGGGCATTTGTGTGCTTCTCAAGTACTGTATTTTTCAGACTGTAAAATGCACTCCCCCCAAATTGGGGAGGAAAAGCAGGGTGCATCTTATAGTCCAAATATTTGTAGCTTATCTGGCTCACTGTGGGGTGGGAAGGGGTGACGGTGGAGCAGGGTCATAGGTTATTAAATATTTTACCACATTTTTTGCTTCATTTTTTTTCCTATTCTCCTCCTCTAAAACCTAGG